TCAGGCATCAACTTCTGTTCATCAGCTTGCCACCTCGACCTCCCTGGCATCGCCGCAAGCTTTTCTCAGGCATTTCTTGCATTTTCTCTGGCAGAGGGTGAGTTGGGATTGCAGAACTACTTTCGATGAGTTCCTGCTAAAGGGCCAGCCGCAAATGGAAGTCCATGTCTCAATTGGCACGTTCCAACTTGCCCCCTCCACCTGGTGCCAAACCCTTTCTCTGGAGCTGTAGGCCGTTGACGCTACCCACAACTTCTTGGGCAGCTCAGACACCAGGAGTTCTTGCCCTGGACTTTTGTCGTTCAGCTCCTTCGGCAGGTCCGTGACGAGATCCTCATCGTGCGCTTTGTCTGAACTCTGTGCTTCTTTCTTGGGCTTCGGGGTCCTTCCATTGCTGATGCTCTTGTTCGCTGGCTCTGACTGTAAAGCGTCTTCCGCATACGATAGCACTACCGACGACTTCCATCTGCCCAAGAAAGCCAGCTCTTGTATTGGCATGCCCAGTCTGACATAGTTCATCGCGCCGGACCTTCGTGCAGAATGTCCCTGAATTTCGTCATTGGTTACCATTGCCCAACCTTCCACCATCTTGGCCTTGGACAGTTTCCTACCTGCAGTGTCTTGGAAGATGAACTCGCTTGGATCTCTTTCAGCCCCTCGATAGGCTTTGTAGATCTCCGCCCACACCTTCCAACAACACCACCTCGGACAGGATCTGGACATGCAGCATTGCAGTGTTCTTCTCACGCCCAAGCCCTGCTGGTCGCACTTCGAGAGGGGGATGAAGATGGTTATCCTTTTATTTTGTTCGTTCACCTTGACATCTTTCCATCTCATAGCCCCCACCTCGATCTCCCGCAGCATCCAAATAACAGCCCAAGCATAGGCCAAAGCTGGCCTCAGCGTCCTTCGAGGGTCTTTGCAGCACAGCATCCACTTCAACTGTTCAATGTCGTTCAGGTTGACCTCGGGGGCACGTTTGACTGGTCCTCGGTTTCGCCTGATGGATCTTTTGCAGTCCGTCAACAACTTGCCCATCTGCGGCGTGACCTCAAAGCCAGCCTCCACGTGCATCAACTTGAGCTCATTTAGATATTGATCTCCAGAGGTCCAACCCCCAGCCTTGATCGCTGCTGCCACGTCTTCTATGGTACCCAACTGTAGGGGGAAGATCTGGCGTCCTTGTCCAATGCTTGCCCTTGCCATCGCCAGCACCTGTTCGCGCTTCGTCTTTTGGGCCGCTCTGGACGATTTGGCCAAGAAATCCCCTCGCAGCACCTCTCTCGCCTGACGAAGCTTGTCCTTGCCCTGCAGGATGTCCATGATCGCCCCGAAGGATCCCTTCCTTGACTCTGACATTCTATCGTCCTCCTCCCGCTTGAGCTCAATTCTCTTTGTAGCTCCGACTCCACCGGGTGCATCTGCTCGTGAATTCATGCATTGAATTTCTTTCTTTTCCTTTTGCTCCCTAATTAAGCTAGTCATGCACTTCAGGGGGTCCCCGACGCTGACCTTCAGCACGCCCATCATCCTCGCTGAGCTTCTTGCAGTCGGGTGCCACGTCGTAGCATGGGGCCCGGTCCCTGACCACCAAGGCGGTGCATTTCTTGCAAATCTTGAACCACCGGTTGAGCCCTTTGCACCATCGCCTCCAGGATGTGGGATTGCGCCAATCTGGCTTCGGGTGAAGCACTCAGGTCTCCCGAGCGAATCTTCTTCTCTGGGGTCATGCTGATGGACCTTCGCACCGACCCTCCCTTCAGTGGAGAAGCATCCCGGGCTCGCTCGTCTTCTCTTGCCTTGTCCTTTGACCATGAGGTTTGCGATTGCTGAGCCACCTCCGCCTCGATCACCCTTCCTGGTTGCCGCGGAGACCCTCTCGTCCGTTGACAGCAGCAGATTACCAAGCTCACCGTCCACTGCACCAGGGAGCAGGCGAAGAAGAACCAGCCTGCCAGGACCGCAAACTCCCCGAAGGACCACGACTGTGCTCCCTCCCTCGGGGAGAGCTCAACTTGAAGAGCTTTCTCCATTGAGCCCAGGCTGCGTTTCGCGAGAAACACTCCGCAGCTCCCGAATCGACTCGACGTTCACGATCGGCTCGACGACCGCGTGACCTCCTCCCAACCCGTCCACGGTTACCTGTAACCATCCCGGGCTTGGGTCACTTCTCTCGACACTAGTCCCCCCCCTCCCCTCAAGCCGAGAATGGTGTGTCTTTTGCCACCATCCCTTCACAGCAGCTCGAAGGCTCCGGAGACTTGGTTGGCACTTGTGCCCCACAACGCCGGCGCTACCCCCGGTGGATTCAGGTAGGCCCGATGCATCATGTTCCTCGGGAAGGTCTTGATGGGCACTTTGTCCAACCTGGTCGGCTTCGTCTCGCTTCGTTCATGAGGCCGCGACAGCCAGTCCGCCTCCACATTCCAGTTGCCCGGGATGTGCTGTGTCACGATCCTCTTGACGCGGTGCTTGTCACACCTGATGGCCAACTCTGCTCCAATCCAGTTGATCACAGGGGAAGGGGACGACAGCTTCTTAGCCATCGCCAAAGCCACCACGCTGTCGCTCCTCAGCACCACACTCTTCCCCTCCAATTTGGCACCCCATCGCTTGAAGGCCAGTTTGACTGCCCAGGCCTCCAATGGCCCCTGCGACGCCGACTCCTTCCATGGCACACCCAACCACTTGGCATCTTCCTCCAACACCGGGATCTCCAGCGCCTCAAGGATCGTGAATGTCTGGCCCACATTGTGATCCACTGTTGCCAGGATGGCTCCCATGCCCTGAGGCGATGCATCCGTCACGATGGCATAGTCGGGCAGCGGCTCCTCCATAGGTTCTGCTCGCAGGGCCAACTCGTCCGGGTTGTTGAACAAGGTCACGAACCAGCGCCTGGGGAGCTCCAAGCGCTTCACTGACACCAACCCGAATTTGGGTCTCTGGTCGGATCTTTTCGATGCCCTTCTTCTTTCCTCATCTTCATCCCGCTTGGTGTCGGCGATCACTGCATACATGATGCTGACGGCCCAGCGCGATCTGGGGAGGATCCCGGCCACCCAGGAAAGTCGCCCCGTCACCTGTTGCACCTCCTTCAAGCTAACCATCCCCTTGTTCTCCCATGCCTCCAGGGCGCTGCGGATCTCTATCATCATCTTCTTGGGTACCGTCAGCTTGATCTGCGCCTCTGCCATGTTCACCTCAAACATGACACCGATCCAGGATAGCTGGCTGCCTCGGGACCCTTTGTGCCATGCCAGATTTATTCCCAAAGCTCTGGCCGTGTAGAGAAGGAGGGAAAGATTCCGATTTCTCCTAGACGAGGGCCCCCGCATAATCCATATCGGATCGTCCATGTACAGCTGGCTCTGCATTTCTGAAGGCGCTATGAGGGACTGCCACAACCTCGCCAGGCACGCCGCGAACCTGCCCATCAATAGTGGAGCCCCTCGGAAGCCAAACAACAAAGCTACCCACATCAGGGTCTCTGTGGGATATACCCCCGGGCTCAAACAGTTCGCATGCTCTTCGGGATGCACTGGAAGATGGCAATAGGCATCGCTCAGGTCCGCGGTGATCATCTCGAAGTCGTAGATGCCCCCGTCCGGCCGTTCCTCGTCCAGCACCCACTCCTCATCTCTCGCCTTGGTCCCCATGCGATCCCTTGTCCTCCACAAATACCTAAAGCTGTCCACTACATCAACCACCCTGGGCAGCACGATTCTCTCCGGAATCCTGCACCGTGCGTTGCCTCCTGACCTCAACAGGTCGATGATGATTCGCCTCTTCACGCTGCCGTCGTCCTTCTCCTTCACCAGCAACGCCAGCTTGGACACCGTTCCGTGCTTATGCATGGAGTTGGCCTTGTTCGTCGGGAGGACCACCGCGAAGCCTTCTTCCACAAGCCTTCCAAGCTCTGCCCTGGCGTGCTCCGGCTCGTCCGTGAAGCTTTTATAGTTCTCCATGCCCAACTGCTCCGCCAACTCTGGGGCCTCTTCCATCTCGATCTCTGGGTCGTCGGCCTTCGGGAAGATCCCACAGCATGGTATCTCCTTGTTCATCCCCAGCGGCACGCCCCTCCTAATCCACTCGACCAAGTGCACCTCCGGGTCCAACGAGGCCTTGAGCCAGGCTTCCCACAGCTCTGGATCCAAGGGGGACTCGAACTCATACTTGTCCTTCAGCACGATGTCGGTGAACATCCTTGTTTGGAAGAATTGTTTAAGACAACCCTTCCACGCCATCTCCACCTCCATGTTCGGTCGATTGCCCTCCGTGCCGTAGTTCTTGGCCACGTCCAGTGCCTCCGGGTAGTCCCTCAGAAACCTGTCCCAGATTCTGGACACGTCCATGCCGACCTGCCGCACCTTTGACAATCTCTCAACCGCCCTCCCGGGGTTTCTCATGCCTCCGATGTACCTCTCGTTCTCTTCCTCCCGCCTTGCTTTCTTCGACACCCCCATCAATGGCCTGATGTCCTGTGTCGATTGGGTTTGTTCCCAAACCCGCTTTGACGGGTCCGCCGTAGGTCTTCCATCGGGAGGTCCCTGATAGATGCGTTCTTTGCTCTCAATCCACTTCTTCTTAAGCGCTGACACCTCCTGCTCCTTCGTCTTGAGCGTGTGCCTCCAATACTCCAGTTGCAGTGTGTGCTTGAACGCTGTGATGATCAGCTTGGCGTACTCCTCACACAGCTGTCGGGGGTATTCATGTCGTATCCACTGGCCGCAAGTGCACGTCCTCTTCATCTTCTCGAGGTCCAGGAGCCGGCCGGCGAAGCGTCCAGGTTTGTACCACCTGACACGTTCCCCCCCCTGAAATGCACACGTGTTGTAATCCACGACCTGGCCCTCAAACGCATCCATGAATGCTTTGATTTCCGGAAGTTCCCACGCCGGTCCTTCTTCACGCGTCTCTGATCCAGGAGGGTTTTCAAGTGTACCCGCCTGTGGTACCTTCCTCAACCTCTGGCTCTTCAGGATGGCCCCGATGACCTCCACCGACCTCGTTGCCAGCAGTGTTCCCACATCGGCCAACTGTTGTTCTTCTACCGAGTTTGAAGGAAGCCCATAGATGTGTTGAAGCGATCTGACAGGTGGTGGTCCTCTATGGTCCATGTTCCAACGCGCTCTGGAGAAGGTGTTGCATGGGAACCCATGTCCGGCATCAAAGGCATGGGCTTCAGCCTCCTCCTTGAGCTCCAGGAACGGGTGGTCCTTGGAAAGGTCCACGTCACCCTCACCTTTCCTGTCGAGGCTGTAGACCTCCACCTGGATCCCCTCCTTGTTCGCCATGTGCTTCAGGCAGTCCCCCAGCACGTCCCTCTCCCCACTGAACATGTGAAGGAACCTGAACGTCCGCATCTCCTGATATTCGGGGAAATCACGCGCCTGCGTCAGGGGGTCCTTGATCCTGTCCGGAAGCTCATCCAAATCCCTCGTCTCCGGGCCAGTCGACGCGCTCGCCATCGACTCGCCCCGCCGCGTCCCCTCCGGTCGCCCGTGCCCGCTTTCGAGCCCAGTCGCCCACTATAAAACAAAGAGCTTCTCCCTCTCTCTCAACGAAACGACCGGTCCGAAGCGCACCTGGGGTTCCGCTCGCCGTGTACTCGATCGATCAACTCACCCCGTCCCCCACCGTCGAAACATCCCTCAAAACGAACGAACACACACACGCGTAACTGCCCCCCCCTCCTCACCCTCTCGCTCAACGAGCAAGAAGGAGCAGCACCCTTTGTCCCTAGTCCCTTTCGGGCTCACGAGGGGGATGCTGCTTTCTTGGGGCACTCCGCGTTGGGATGTCCCGGTGAGAAACAGTGCATGCACTTGCGCACGCGTTTGATCTTGCCCTTGCATTCGGATCCTGGGGGAAGTCCAGCGCATGGTCCAACGGCCTTGGCCCAACTGAAGCAGATCTCCTGCCCGGCTTGGTCTTTTCCCTTGCCTTTGCTCTTGCCCTTGCCTGGATCACCTTTGGGTCGTTGCTCACGAAACGTCGCAAGCTCCTCCCTCTCGGCAGCCCATCGTTTCCTCTTTGCCATCCTCTTGTCACGGTTCGCCTGTCGTCGTCGATCAGTCCTGTCGTCGTCGTCCTCTCTACCTGCAGGAGGTCCCGGAAGATGTGCCATTGCAATCGTCTCGGCCGGAGGCTTTGGCGATCCATGTGCCCCGCTAGCCAACCACGCAGCAGCTGGGTGGCGCACCTGTTCGTTCCAAAACCTCTCGTCCAAGGCCAAAGCTCTAAAGCACGCTGTCCAAGGTTCGGCTTCCGAAAACTCTCTCGGCGGCGTCCCCCCTGCGGCAATGTCTAACGTGATGGCTCTTCTGATTTTCTCCAACTTCTCCGCCCTGCCTTTGTCATCTGCTTGCACGATCAGCCCCCAAGCTCTTGGCCATTGTAGCACCAGCTTCTCAATGACCTTCTCGTACAGGAGGAGGGCCGCAAGTGTCACCAGGTTCAACGAAATGCACGCTGCTTTGAACACTCTCCAGCTCACCAGCCACTGTTGAAGATTCTGTGGTCCCGGCAACTCCTTCATAACAAAGGAACCGTCCCCTACCGGCATGAAGGCCCTGAACTTTTGGTTCTTCAACACTCTCCTACCAAAGGGGAGCCACACGGAGAAGTCCACGTACGGCGGTTGGTTCTGCACCTTCACTCGATGATGAAGAGCAGCTAGTTGCGCATCTGTCGGTTCTTCTTCTTCTTGAGGAGGAGCTCCCATTACAGCAATGTACCTTTGGGCCCACTCATTCAACAACACTGCATCGGGCAACTTCGTCTCAGAGTCATCCGTCTGGTCCACGATGTTCGCCATCTTCAACACATTCTCCTTGCTACCACTGGCCGTGCTACCTGTCCCGGTGCTTCCTCTGGGTGTCCCTGAAACCGCCCCAGTACCATCAGGAGGTCCCGCTGCTGCTTCTGGAGTCCACGGATCCTTGTCTACAAAGGCCTCGGCATTTCCTCCACCTTGGAGGTGAGCCACCCATCGGGCATTGCGCCACACTAGACCCACCTGAGCCGCTTGTATTGGCGTGAGCCTTTCTCCTGAAGCTAGGGTGGATGTGCTAACGATTTGAGGGATAGTCCAGGCCGGCATGGCCGCCACAAGGCGGAGGTCGTTGCCCGGATCGCCGGCCGTCGACACGAAGGCATCCCACAAGGGGTCAGGAACACCTAGTTGACGAAGTAGGTCAGGCACCACATGAACCGCTAGAGCATCAGCCACCGACAACAAAACCATGGCATGAAAGCGGCTCGCGCATCAACCTAAAAGAAAAGCAAGTGGAGGTTCCACCTCCTGAGGCTCGAGCCTCAACACTGGAGAGGACGAGTCTATTCAGCCCTCCCACCCTCCATATAAACTGGTTTCGCTTCCATGTCCTTCAGCACCTCTGGTGCTTCTACTCCAATGGTTTTTGGATCTGTTGGCAACACTCATGTTCCAGGAAAAACAATCTCTCACATTCTCTCACGATAGTCATTCCATTCCTTTATTGTCAAAACTCCTTGAGCACTCATGCTATGGTTTCAACTGGTATTCCGCATTTGTCAAGTCCCGTGCTACCTGCAAAAAATCGAAGCGAAGTTTCCCAGCCGGGATATGTTTGAATCATCAGAGAGGCATACCCAAACCTGATCTCCACAAAGCGCATTGATTGGAATGCTTGCGGGCTTTCTGGCAAAGTTCCATCGGGAATTCCATCCGACAAGTGGCCCCACTGCAGCGACTATGCCGAAAATCCCTTTGTTGGTGAAAGATGTGGCTGGCAGAGTCTGAGCCCACAGTGGGCAAGTTGTTGGGTTCCTGGAATCAAAAGGCACTTTGTCGAAGCATGGCTGGCTGATGGCATTGGCATCCTCGAGCGGTGTCTGAATGCTCCAACTTCGGATGAATATGTTGTTTTTGGGGGGTAGCACGTGACAGGTGTGAGGGGAAGTGGGCAAGAAGAAACTATGTAGTAGCTTAAGTAGCCACTGGTAGGGGCGCAGAAGGGCTTGGGTTTGCTTGCTTGATTTGGTTCTTTAGACCGTTCTCTTCTCCCCTCACTTTGTGTTTCGGCTTGCATGAAGGAAAGTTTTGGCTCACGAAGGAGTCTTGCCAGGTGCGGATTGATCTGCTGTTCACAGCAGGACAGGTGGAAAGCGGAAAAAAAGAACAGGACATGAAGGTGCTTCATTGCGTCTTGGGAGGAGGACACGAAGGGCTGTTGAGTGATTGGTGCGAGTTAACACCATGAAATCGGATAGAAACAGGTCCTTCTATGCCCTGAGGGAGCCAATGCTTTGCTTGTAAACGGAATGGGTGAGGAGGCTTGCCCTGTTGCACTTCAAGGCACAATTGTCGCTGTCCGGGCAAGTACGATGAGAGCTCTCGAGTTGCGGCAACTACTCCAATCCCCATCCACGACACCCTTCTTACTACTAGCTTCTTGTCACTACTAGCCATGGCCTCCAACCTACTTGCGATGACCTCCACCTAACAGCGTCCTAATGCTCCAGTATGCTCCTCAAATATATATATATAATGGTACAAGCCTGCTACGGAACATTGCGGACTTGCGGAGGTTTTCCACACTGATTGACCTACCACATTGACCCAGAAAAGACTGACCCGAACAATATGCTTCAAAGAAAGAACTCAGAACCAAACTATGAATACCTGACAGTGAGAAACTCAAGCGTACCCTGCCTGTCTTCCGAGACTGGACATCCCAGTGCAAAAAGGTACACCTCCCTTTCCTCAAAACTTCAGCGCTTGATTCGATTCTGGAGTCCGGAGTGTTTTTTCCTGCTTGACCTTGAGAAATGCTTGGGACAGGGCGAACCAGCCTGCCATTCAAGGAACATCCAGTAAGGACCGGCCTCGGTTCGCTGTCATGGTAATGTGTCAGCTACGAAAGCAAAAAGAAAGAAGAAGAAAAACTCAGCAAGCGTACACATACAGAAGTCCAAAACTGCTCTGCACGCATCTGCACTCTGACTCCACAAGTGTATCTGGTTGTCAATGAAAGTACTCTGAGAGGCTTGCGGCACTCACACTGGGCTGTACAGGAGCTCCTGCTGCTTCCGGCTTCGTGGAGATGGTAATGATAGTCGCCTGCTTCTCAAAGACTTAAAGAGGTCTTTCCCAGTCCTTTCCAAACAATTTGAAGAAGCTAGCCTTGCCTCACTGTTGGCCAAAGGGTTCTCGCACCTCAAGGACTTGTAACTCTGCAACTCGCAAATGTTGCTGTCAGTACAATCATAAATAAGCTCTGCCATTCATGAGGCTTTCTGAGCTGCTGACACTTCATGCACTGAGACCTGATGCACATGCAAAAGAGTTCTCTTTCTCCCAAACACATCTAAACCAACATGTTCAGCTTTTAGGCAAAGGCTTCATAGCTGACGCCGTCGGTCAGACCAGTCCTCATTGAGTGTATGCAATACCAGGTCAAGATCAATGAACTCGCAGGCATTCAGACCCTTGCATATTCTGGTAAGCGTTTTCCCGTGGTTGGCCATCTGTTGTGAACGTGTGAAACTCCATACCTGCCAAGCCAAATCTCAGGTTGCATGTGTCTTGACAACTTATTGCAATCTTGACTTGCCTGCAGCTGCCGTGATCTCCCAACCCACGTGGATGCAGTCATTCGGGATGCCGGGTGTCCAAGCCACCTAACTGCTGAACAAGTGCTTGAACTTAGGATTGCAAATTCAGTTTCTTTGTGCTCTGGAAGACACGTTCAAAGGTTGTTTGGGCCCAAGTTCAGCACATGAATCCAGAATGGCTCTCGCTGTACATCATAGACGCCAGTCACCTGATGATATTAATTCAGGTATACTGTAGTTACTGTACTGTAGAGTAAAGCATCTAAAGTACGTATGCCAAGCACACTCAAGTGCTGCTGACGGAAATCTTCCACATCTGCTTGAGATGAAAGGCAGCACATGGCATATGGAACATGTTGCTGGAGGTGCTATGCCTACAGTTTTTTCAATTTTCCCCAACTGCTACCTACACTTGTACCTAAGGGGCCACAGCCAGCAAAGGTTTCGAAGCGCCCAACTGGGAACAGGTCCGGGTAACCTGCCTCTGGGACCCTGGTATTTGTAAGCAGGGTCTCAAACCTGCTTCCGAAAACCTCCTTCTCGCAAACCTGATTCCGGGAACTTCATTCTCGTCCGCGCGGCGACCCAACCGGACAGCACAGCAAAGGAGCTGAGCTGTGTGAGTTGAGCTTGTGTGTTGTATGAGTTTGTGCATTGGCAGGAATTCGGCAGGGAGGAGGACGAGGCCGCGATGCGGAGTGCGGCAAAAAACAAGAACCCAACGCTTGTGGACAACAACAACAACAACAACAACACAGGAGGCCCACCATAACAGCCGGCGGACCGGATCGCTTCCGGATCGCAGCAACAGGCCGTGAAGTCTGGAAGTGCAATGCTTTTATCGCCATCTTCATGGGTTGACTTCGCTATCAGTGTCAGTTTAACAAGTCCGAAAACCATAAACTATTTCATGACCACTGCAGCTGTTGGGGATCTCACGTGAGCCTATGTTGCCCAAAGAGATGTCATTATTTGATCCCTATTTCGACCTGCATCCCGGATCTATTGTTGGTACTGTAGAAATTGTAGCTTTCTTCACACAAAGGTTAGCAGCAGCTTGCCATGATCGGAGAAGCATTTTAAGGTCTTGACAGCAGAAGAAGGCAAAGGGTTCACCTGTTTTTGCTCCAATGCCAGGAGTTGCATAGCTGAAGTTCGTTGCAAAAATCAAGACTTTTTGAAAACTTTGAACCAGCAAAACAGCAAACAATACATCCAAAAATCTTGCCTGTGCCAAAGATGGATAGTTCTCGAAGTCTCCATTGAGATCATCATCCTGCTTTCAAAAAGCCCCAATCAAACTCTTGTAGAACAAAGGCTATATGTGTTTGGTTCCTTTGATGAAAGTGTCCAAAGTTTGTAATGGACTTGCTCCTGGCAGACCTCCCTGATGCGAACATAATACTGTGCGTTGCTTACCAAACCTGAAAAACATACCAGCTGAAGTGCGGGTTGCATGGTAACATCAATCTTGGCGACATCACTTGCTTGCCTGTGACTGTGCATGATGTCAATCTACGATCCTGAAATCAAGTTGTCTCAGAGTGATTACAGTACAAATCAATTCATGGGCACTGATTGAAACGGGCAATCTCCTCAATGAAACATGCCGCTGCAGAAGTCCACTGAGAGCTCCTATCAAGCAAAACACGCATAAAGGCACGATCCTCCCCACAATAGTAGCAAAGATTCCATTGTCTTGCAACCAGTCCAGTGCTCGAAATAGTACTGGCTCAAATCCACTTGCCACCGACGGAAGTTGCAGGGGTAGAAGGTTGGGTCCTCATCCGGAGAGGCAAAATTATAGTTGATGCAGCTGCAAAGCAACAGCACAACAATTTGGGCAGTGCAGGTCAAACTGAATAGGAGCAAAGACGCTGCTAGGGGCTCCTGGCCGTACTACTAGGAGCAAGGACGCTACTAGGAACAAAGGGCATCGCTACTAGGAGCAAAGACGCTACTAGAATGTGAGACTGAAAACGACAGCATCTCACCCCAACTCTTGCAGGCTGGAAACAGCGAAGTCTTGCTCCTGGTGAAGCTCTGCAAAACAACTAAGATCGTGTGTCCTCTAGTGACTTTAATGACATCGCATGACTCATGACAAAACGAAAAGGTTTGCTCTGTGAAGCAACACAGTGTGCATGTGTGTGTGTGTGTCACCCTTTGTATACTTCTGCAACAGGATTGATCTTATGGAAGCAACGAAAAATGGTCAAGACCATTGGCCATTGTTCGATCAACGCCAAGAACATTTCCCGCATCCTGCCAATCAATGTTGAGAGAGTCCGGGGTTGTCGAAGTCACAACCAGATTGGTCTTGGCAGGGCGGGTTTGAAGCTGGTTTCAAGTCTGTTGGCATGATCTAAGTTTCCCAACAGGAGGATTTGGACGCACAATGCAAACTCTGTCTCCACCATTTCGGTTGCCGCACGGCTCTGGCATGCAGCAGTGATCCTGCAGGCCCACGCTGGCTCCAAGTGTTGACACAATTGAAACATCAACACGCAATGAGAAAGAAGATATGGAGATATAGATATATAATATACAGGTGTCTGCATTCACATAAACTGAGCTGGTTGGGCTTCGCTTATGCAGCAGCCAGGAGTTAGACAAGGGCTCCAGTAAGCCCAGAAGCCCATCGACAGCACAGGGGCTTGACATATCCCGCTGGGTTTACTTGAGCCAGTGAACGTCTTGGTTCATCTGAAAATCAAGAAGGGTCAATCTGACCTTGCGTCACTCAGTTGAGGCTGGAAACAGTCAAAGCATTATTTCAACATTCTGCTGAAAAACATTCTGCCGTCAGGAGTCTGTCAATGTCAGGGGTGGTGCGAGCCCAGAAAGGCGAACCTAATGCTTCATCACTCTTATTATGTGAGGTATTATAACACCCGGACAGGTCTTTTCTCATATGTGCGCTTTAGACGACTCGAAAGCAAGCATCTTGCTCACCCCTTCAGATACACATGTGCGTGCAAGACAACACACAAACTCCCCTTGAGATACACATGAAAATGCACGACAAACCCTCGGAAAAAAAATATAGGACAGTTCTGATTCGAAACTCCACTGTTTTCAATGTATAAAGGACAAAACCTTGCGCAAAAGAAGCGCACTGTTGTCGGAAAAAAAGATCCGAAAAGCAACGTTGCAAAAACACGTAAAATACATATAAAACCAGACCTGATGCACTTCGTAACAGTGTCTAAAGTAAACCAGTCTGACATATGCAACAAGCCCATCAGCTTAAAGAAGCATGTGCTTGGATTTAAGAACAATGTGCATTTCGTTCATATGTGCTTTAAGCACATGAATACAGTGCATGTGCAAAGCAAAGCCCAAAGCGGTCCGCTCTCACGCCACCCTCGACGGCGCTATCCACCTGACCAAGTAAAGCCATTTTATGGTTCTTTCTTGGGGGGCAGGCGTTTGGTCGTAGTAAACTGAAGGAGCTAGTAGTAGTAAGGAGTGAGTAGTAAGGAAGCTTAGCCTTCTTCAAGGAAACTCCCCCGGCCCTAAAGGCAGTTGGCTTATCTTAGTGGAAGAACCCCACTTTGTCTTGCCGCTCTTGCCTTTGCACAACTGTCAGGGCTGGCACACCTCGCAAACTGGTTTCAAAGTGGCCAATATTGGCATCACACAAAAGCATTGTCTCTATATATAACTTATGCCCAAAAAAAGCAGCGATCGGCTGTCACGTCTAAGCTTCAAACATGTATGGAAAGTTCTTGGAGCATTTAGCTCTGCCGCCACCTCTCTGCTGTTTCACTGCTTGAAGAGTGGCAAGCCAATTGGCAATGCCAAGCAAATCAAGAGGTCGAGCTTTGTTGAAGCATTCTCCATTCTCCTCACTGTTGAGGGCAGCACGCCGCCAGCAACCAATACCATCACCATCAAAACGGCCACCTTCAAATATGTTGCTCTCAAATCCGTCCTGCGAGAAGTGATTCCAATAGAGTTCGCAGAACTGGACCGACTGCCCCAAATGGTACATCTAATTCAATGTTTGCATGCCGTTGTGCTGCAGTAGAAGTAGGAAGAGTATGGAAGAGTTCAATTTGCAGTTGTTCACTCAGGACTCCCGCATGCTCCCATGGCTGTCCGCACAAACGAAGAAGTCGTCTCTGCCACTGTGCTGTGAGAAACTGCAGCCGGGCAGAGTTGGCACCTCAGGGCAACCCAAATGGGAACATCCAAGAACCTCTTGCGCAGTATGGGGAAAGGGCATCCAGAATTGTCTGCTTCGCGGTAGTTTAAAGATTGGAGGGTTTTTCGGGTGCCGGAAACGAAAGCAAGTCCCTGAGGCCTGGATTTCGACGTAAGGACTGCTTAGGCGATCAAGGCCTGACAATGTACGTCGACAAGAACTGCAATGCAAACAGACCAAATCGCTGAGATCCAGGCTGCAGGTTTGCCGTACACGAATCTCATACTGCGTGTCCTTTCTGAAGCGAAATAGGCAAACGACTGTAAGGCAAGAAAGCCAGTGGCATAGCTAGTAGAAAAGCTAGTAGCTTGAAAACGAGGAAGAACAACAGAAAAAGAAGCAATGAGAACAATGCGCTGAGATTGGAGCGGGGAAAAGCCAATTGCCTTCCAATTCTTGTACCGTGCAACTGCTCTGTTGAAAAGGCATGTTGTTGCCTGGCGACACGATCTGTGCAACGAGGAATTGCCATCATCCGTCACCCAAGGAACACGGGCAACAGGCCAGGCCATCAGTCAGGAGAGAGCAGCCACTCTGTTGTGCCTCAGAGTTCAACCCTGCAAGAATCAGCAGCAATCGCTGCATTTTCTGTTCTTGCTACATCTTGCTACCCGACCTTGACGCCTGATGAAGATGTTCCAAACAGAGCAGTAGCAATCGCTCATGTACCTCGAAGTCTCGAAGCGAAGGAGAGTAGCAGTCACTGCATAGTGTAAAGGAAACAAATGATTAAAGGTCCAAGTCCAAGTCTAAAAGTAAAAAGAATAACAAGAAGAAACAAAAACAAAAAGCAAGATATTGTAAATACGGATACAAATCGTCGTCCAGCATCTCAGGGCTCTACCCCCCAGATCCGAAAGGTAGCCAAACCAAGTCAATCGACTGGCACATTTCACCGCGTGAGATGAGACATGATAAGACATGTTGAGACCAGCATATGATGTTGCAATATCAATTCATATCATGAAAAAACTTCCTCAAGCAAGGCGATGTCGCGTTTGCTGTGCGTCCAACAGCTTCCAGCCTAAGATTGCTTTTTGTGTGCATAAGTGCACATGCTTGGACGCTAAGCCCCAGACGTTGCTGGTGGCTGAGCCACGATACGCTTCATCTCATCCTGAGACACCTCGAGGCAAAAACCAAACAGAAAGAGTAGAAAAAAGGCAGGTGTTTCGGATGAGGTCCCCTTAAAGAAGGCATCATCAAAGAGGTCCTTACCCTCTTTCGTTCTTTCTTTTCTTTTCTGTTCTGTTCTTTTCTGATTTTCATGTGTTTCTATATATATATACTATAAATGCTGCGTGTGCAAGGAGCCGACCGTATCAGCTACACAGGAGAGGTATAAATCCTGCAAAAATTGCTGCAGCCAACGATTGTGTATTTGTGACTCATGTTTGTCACAGCTCAAGAACTTTGCTACTTTGTCCAATTCCTGACCCCAACCAGCATCTGCCAAATCTGTTCTTATGACCTCCACCTGCAGCGGAACATAACCCGGCACCCGCAGGCAATCAAGGGCAATTTGACAGCACAAGTCTATACACTTCACTTCAATGTTTCACTGGCCTGGTCTGTTCCATAGCAAAGAGAAAACTCATCTTGGCAACACTTTGTGTGATACGCACAGGCCTTGAGAAAGGAGCTGGCTTGAGAAAAGAAATGACTTGATTGTCTTCCTAAATCAGGCCGTGGCATTCAGCCCTTGCGATCCAAAGTAAATCGCTTTGGAGTTCGTGTCGGGGTTCGTGCCCACATAGATCACCTGGCCGACCTCAATGGGTTCGATTCTTTACTATATATATATATATACAGCTCCATAGGCATACATATTCATATTCTATGTTGGCAGTGCCAATAGATGTTAAAATGTAGCGAGTGCATGACGTCCGTAGTGAAAGATCTCTCATCCAGCAAGTATGGACCTGAGACAGTCAAGACAGTTGCTAAAGTACTTATATGTAACTCTAACTGACAAGTCCACGATCCCTGGATTTACTGGGTCCTTCCGACTGTCACTGGTGTTGTGAATGCAAGTCTCTTGCACCCGCAGGTCATAGCTGGTGTAGCTTTGCAGTCCAACCTGAGATAGATCTGAGTCCAACCGAGGTGTGTCTTCATCCAACAAGGATAGTGCTTCCTGTGCAAATGCTTTGGAGCAACATTTGCAGAGCCTTTGACCTGCTATGGATCATTTCAATATACACTTGTCGCTAAGTCTCTGGGTGCTTCGCAATTCGACAAAAGGTCACGCTTCGATCAGGTAGAGAACATTCAGGCACGGGTATCCATGCATCCAGGGCAATCGCCACTGGCTTCACCTCTGAAGTCAAGTTACTGACCGAACTCTCCACCTCTGTGATGTGACACTTCAAACAAAGCTGTCGGCACCAAAATGGGTTTGGCTCCTTCTTTGCGAACCTACCACTACGTAGATACTTAGGCCAGCGTTTGGTGACGAAAGCAGGTCAAGGGAGGGAAAGAGGGCAGGGAGGAAGCCTCCACCTTCCATGATAGGAAGAGACAATCTCTCGGCTCACTTGCGGCCTTGGTACAAGCGCAACAAACAACACTAAGAAGTCAGTCAAATCAAAAATACACGTGTTCTAAGCAAATTTGATTCAGAATGACTATATTTGACCATATAAAGAATTCCTGACAATAGCCAACAATTCTGAGAAGGTCACCCACTCCAAATCCATGCTGGTGGTGGTGACATTGGTGATCTGCGCAAGGCAAGCGGCATGGTGACACAAACTCTCAAATGCAGCAAGCCCTCTATGTAAACTCCATAGATACTCAAAAACTTGTTATCTTAATTTCGCAGCTTTGCATTTGCACAACGGCCACGTGAGATCCACGTTTATCATGCTGAGCCACTGACATTGGGTCCAAGTGGGGTTAGCGCCCATGCTGGAATGGTGGCCTTCAGGCCCTGGACCTGATGGCTTTCATCTTGCAAAGAAAGTCCAACCTCTGCTTTCGTACTGAGGTATTGTCTGTCCAGGGGCTGTCAGCCCGGGAATCTACGCAGCGCTCAGCAATGCGGACATCATAGAGGGCGTTGCTGATCTGAGTTCTCGTACTGAAGAAGGTGGCTGCTATGTCATGCACATCGAGTGAATTGAAATCAAGAGCTTGGGTGTATTCAAGAATGTCAATGTCAGTTCTGTACGTTGATCACCGGAAACATCTATGCACTCTCAAGCATGAGGCTCCAGGCCAACCCGCTGACGTTGCACTCAGCGACCTCCCGCTGACCCTCCAAGCGACATGAAGCGACTGTTGAGCCTGAAAGCCGTGTGGAGACAACGGCCGTGCAAATTCCAGTACAAGACTCCGGAGCCATAAAAGTGAGGGTTCAGGGAAGAACCGCTGTCTGGTAGGAGAAGTTTGCTTGAAGAACTATCGTTGGGAACCAAGATATCTTCCTCTGACTCTTGACACAAAACTCTCTCAGATTTCTCGAAAGGTTTGAAAGGGAACAAGAACAAAGACAGTTTTTTCTCGTTGTCAGCTGTCAGTGTTGTTCTGTAGGCTGGCCACTCCAATTTAGCGTGTAGTTCTCGAGGTCAAAAATCTCGCCATACCTTGGGGCAGAAGGCAATCGGTATCACGACTGCCTCTTTGATGTGAAGAGCAAAAATCACAGAGTAGGCGAGGATATCCACTACTGCAAGCAAGAGCAAGAAATTTTACAATTGGGAAGGATGTCTCAGTCTATTCTGAACTCTGGTTTGAAGCAAATGATGCACTTGTACAGTTGAATTGATGTTTGGCTTTTGTGGTGGGCAGCGGATAAGCAGCATAAAGCCACAAAGCTAACAACGAAACACTGTGCACATCCTGATGCCGCAAACCAATTCCCACCAATCTCAACAACATCCAAAAAAATCAATATCCCACGGATATACAACCACAGAGACTGCCTATTTGGCAGCATGTGGGCACTGCCAACCAAGTGTAAAAACAGACATTGCAGCACGTGCTACTTTCTGTGAATATCGATCTGGGGCTGATACTGAGACGAGAAGCTTGAGGCGAAATGATTCAGAGGTTTGTAAGGAACCATGGTGGAAAATGAAATGAGGAGAGAAAGAAAAAAGTAAACGTATGTATGTATGTATGTATGGATGGATGGATGGATGCATGCATGCATGCATGGCTGTCTGTCTGTCTGTCTGTCCGTCTGTCTGTCTGTCTGGCTGGCTGGCTGGCGGCCGGCTGTCTGTCTGTCTGTGTGTATGTATGTATGTATGTCTGTCTGTCTCTGTCTCTGTCTCTGTCTCTCTCTGTCTGTCTGTCCGTCTGTCCGTCGGTCCGTCGGTCCGTCCGTCCGTCCGTCCGTCTGTTTGTGTGTCTGTTTGTGTGTATGTGTGTATGTATGTATGTATGTATGTATGCATGTATGTATGCATGCATGTATGTATGTATGTGTGTATGTATGTGTATGTATGTATGTATGTACGTATGTACCGTAGGTAGGTAGGTAGGTAGGTAGGTAGGTATGTATGGACGCACGCACGCATGCATGCACGCATGGATGGATGGATGGACGGATGGATGGATGTATGTATGTACATTCCCTTAAGCTCTCTATATATATATATACAAATAGTTTCTACTGTAAGCAAGCCGACATATATATGTGGTACACAGGCTATAGATGATGTTGAGCCAGAAGTTTTTGACGGGCGCTTCAAGAGCTGAGCCAGCGGCCACTTCTCCGTGACAGACTCACGAGAAAATCTGTCAACCAAATCTCCATATCTTCGACCCTGACCAGCACAGGCGCATGTCTCATTCAAAATCTTTTGATTTCCACTCCTATGTCCTAGTACGAGCAAAGAAGCGCCAAAACCTATGAGTGAGGTAAAGCGCCTGTACTTGCACGTCCCAGTGGGAGAAGACACACTCTTGCGAGCTACCCGGAACCCATTTCAAGTTCAGCGTGAAGGGCTCTGGAGATGTCACTGTCCTGGCGATGATTGGCTGAAACTCAACAAGAAAGCAGTGAAGCCAGCAACGAAGCCGGGCAAACAGGTTTTCTGGCGCATCCGCCAGGAATGGCCAAATCTCAGCCTTGGCTAAATCAATTTTTCAGTGGCGCGCCTCAATGTCCCACTGCTTTCAAGATCTAGAGAATCGGTAATGTTGGGTCAAAGAGCCCGATGGCTGCAATTTGAACGAAGACAGACCCGCTCATGAGTCTACTGCCAACGAAACTGCTCATGAGTTGGGAGGATGTCGGAGCTGATCACTCTGACGTACCTGCATTCCTTTTCGTCGTGTTCTCAAGCGATCACTCCAGTCTTCCACTATGGGCTAGCGCGCGGTCGTCGTCAACCTGTCGCCGACTTCGTGACCGCACTACGTGACTGCACTACGTACTTTACTCCTGATATCTCGAGTGTGTCTGGCTTCACGCCAGCCCAGGGTGTACCCGACAAGTGTCCCCTGTGGCCCTGTCGAACGGGGGTTTGTCTACGTTTCCATTGCTCGGAAACAGAGTAGTCCGAAGCGGACGGAGCAGGCTTGCCCGGCGCCATAGCTCTGCCAAGAATTGCTGAGCGATTGCCAATGAGTAGGCAGTAGGCAGAATTATGGCACGCCACGAGGTGTCCGGAGTCCGAAGCGGACGTGAATTAATTTGGGAAGGCCCGAGTAGACCGCAGGGTCGCAGATCCTTTTTGACTGGGTGGGGTCAGTCGCAACCTTAGGCGCACACACAGCGCATACATTTTAAACCAGGCTCGGTTTACCTAGGTCCTTTAATGAGGTGAGGTTTGGTCTCGTTGGTATCCAGCCCCTCAACCCGCCTCCCCTTTCATCGTTTCCCCTTTACACACCTTGCCTTTTCGTTTCATGTCTTTCTGTCTTCATGTCTTGGCACCTCATCCTTTCTCTCTCTTGCGCACACATTGGTCTGGTCCTTAGTGTATACGTGCACTCACACTTTAAGCCCAGGGCTGAGGTCGCCCTGTCGGTCGCTGCACATGTTTGGTACGAGGAACCCCTCTCTTCTAGGCTTCACTTTGTTGTTCTACAACTGACCCGAGTTGGTCTACACAGTCACTGTGAGCACCACTGCCTGTCGGTCATTGCCGCATACCGCTGCACATGTTTGGTACAAGGAAACCCCTCTCTTCTAGGCTTCACTTTGTTGTTTTACAAATGACCAGTTGGTCTACACAGTTACTGTGCACATCACAGCCTGTCGGTCATTGCCGCGATCCGCTGCACATGTTTGGGTTGTTCTACAACTGACCCGAGTTGGTCTACACAGGCACTGTGAGCACCATAGCCTGTCGGTCATGGATGCAAGCCGTTGCACATGTTTTGTACGAGGAAGCCCCTCCTGTTCTTCCTTTAGGCCTTGTGGCTTCACTTTGTTACATTCAATAAGCACAGTCACGATGCGCATTGCCGTCGTTCGGATCGTTGCAGTCTGTTCGTGTCTTGCCCATTGGGTACGAAGACACCCCTTGCTCCTAACTTCTCTTGGTTAAAATTCAACCCCTTGGGGGGCCAGCAGGGTCCTATCTGCCAAGCTGTTACAATCATCTTTCAGGCTGTTTTAGGTCAATCAGGTGATCAGAGTACTAGACAGGGTTGCACTTTCGTGACGGTGTCGCCCATACATGGAAGGCCGTGGACTCAGGAGGTTCTGGGCTTTGACACCTTTCCACCGTTCCACCACCAAATAACTCTTCCCAGTGTGTGTGTGTGTTGGGCTCACTATCTGCCAAGCTGCAACTAAAGATGCATCGTCACTTTCAGCTGTCCCATCACTGCCTTGGCAAGTTTGGGACAAAGTGGTCTTGATACGAAAAGTGCATGCTTGGCAAGTCTCCAATGGCAAAATACACATGCGGTGAAAGTCCAGGGAAGAATACCTACTAGCATAGTAGAATGTACTGTAGTGACAACTCAACAAACGCAGTTGTCAGAAAGGCTTCCACATCGTTCTCGCATTCGCACGTTGTAGAAAGCGTAGCTCGTAACTCCATACACCTCAAAAAGCCATGCGGGCCACAAAATGAACAAAGCTGGATGTGCTTAATACTAGAGTGACAGGGTATGTGAAAAAGCAGTTGAATGTCTATCGATATTGGTATCCAATATCCAAACATGTTGTCTAACAGCCTAACAATCGAGCCTGGCAGCTTGTAATTGAGCGATCCTGGCCAAAGCATTGATTGTCAAATACAATAGGTCAAGAGATCATTTTAATAGCTTGAATGTTTTAACTGAGAATGTCCAATGTCTCTCTAAAGCTCCTGCGACAGTCAAGGACTCGGCGAAAACTACTTTGCTTGACTCAGGCTTCGAAGCTGCAAAGTTCTCACCTCGATAACGCAGCTGGATGGAATCGTCCATGGGTCATTTTCAACCTCAGCAAAAAAAAAGAGATTTAGAATGCTAAGTCCTGAAAAAAGGGAGGTGACACCAAGGATTCAACATCAGTGCAGTTGGTGTATCCAGGGCCAGAGATGCATTGGATGGCACGTTGAATCTGCAAAGAAAGATTTCATCCAGGTCAGAGATCTTGCAAGAAAAGACTTGCCTCGACTGTCCAATTCCGAAAACGACAATCGTTGGAGGCAGGTGCTTGCCAGCTGAGTCTGAAGGACCTCAAAAGCACAGGGCATTGTAAAGCCTGGCAAAGCATTGCACGGAACAGGAAGCTCAGACACTCGCGCCGATGTTTTGCAATGCTGTTCCTGCTGGATTTCTCATGAAGCTGGGACTGGCACTGGTGATCAACGTCATAGACTTCAAACTGTGATGGCGTCAATGTTGGCACTGGCACAAGGGTCCTACGATGTCTGCTGCCCTTCACTGCACCACCCATGAAGGGCAGAGGAGCTCAAGAACTGCTTTAACACAAGCGTTGCACGTTCCATGTTCAGCGTGTTGGGTGTCAGTCAACGAAAAACATGGTAAGATTCCCTCACCGCTAATGGTCCTGTTCCTTTTTGATGGGGTTCTTCTGGACAGAGAAGGACACCACAACTAAATCTGTTCTTTCCCTATTCGTCACTAAACAACATGATGACTACTCAGCAGGGTTTATCTCCGATTCCAATACGCAATGTTTGTTCCCAATAGCAAAAATAGATTATGACGCCTGCACACAGTGTCGTTCCTTGCATGCAGCTGGTTGCATTTTGGCTTTCACTAGCGAAAAAAGAGTCGTGATGTGATGTGCGCTCCAACAAGCTCGCCCTCACTACCAAAGACTTGAGGGCACACCATCCAAAAAAAAGAGCACGCTGGGATTCTGACTAACTTCAGCTATCATTTGGCTGCACAAACCAAATCGATTGAACACTTTCTACGGGCTGCGCGCTATACTCTACGTGATCTGGCGCGTTACACTTGTAAATGCAAAATGGCCCTGTGTCTTTCAACACATATGTATTAGATTTCAGAGATCAAGTACTTGAAGGTTTGTTGGGAAGCCAATCTGTTTTGCGTGAGAATAGCTTGCTGGATGAAAGCAGTAAGGCATCCTCGGCAATGCATTGGACGCAAGGTAGAAAATGGGACTGTCCAAGTACTGTGCACCTCAGGAGCCGCTTAGCCAGCCAGTCAAAAAAGCCCAGTGCCAGAGCAAGTCTGATCGCTAGGTCAGCCACGTTCTCGAGCTCCGCCCCAAGGTTCATAGATGGAGGTATAAGTTTCACCTGAATCCAACACAGTGGCAGCTTGAAAGCAAATTCAACATGCTGAAGACACCCGCAAGTTTCAGCTCACATATCATTGGCTAAACCCTCAAGCTGAGTGCACTGCAAGCTTCCTTTACACGAACTTCATATTCAGTGTTGCTGCGTACATGTGCCTGGAAGCACAAATCAAGCGCAAAACTTGCCGATGTGATGTCGTGAGGCTCATGAGGCTCGATGTGAACTAAAGAATAGAGACTACTTACTGCTGCCTCCTCTCCCAAGTAGCCGCCATGCAGCTCTGTGATGGTGCAGCCTGCATGCTCAAGGCTGCATGGACCAAACGAAGTTGGTCAGGCTTCTCTGCAAGTTGTAAGCATTGAAATCCAATGAACAACTGCTTACGGTCATATCAATTGTCGGACAACAGCCACGCATTCGCTTCTTCTCGTAGAACAAAGAATGATGGAACGCTGTGAACAGTAACACTGCTAGTAACATCAGTTCGAGGTTTCGACTGGTTACACCGCGTTCTTGGCGTCCACATTCAATGGCTTCTCGCCACTCACCACCTGCTCTTTGGACAACAAGCATCGGACGGGCAAAAAGCGGAATAGCACGGTGTTTAACACAAGCAGAATAGTGCCTGCCTGTGAAATTATTGTCCCGGATCTCCACCAGCCACTTCATATACAAGCAGTCCTGACAGTCTGTGTGTGCCTTCCAACGATCCATTCCAATGAGGGCACCAACACCCTCCACCAGCCTGTGGATCGCCAGCAAACCATCGCAAGCTAAAGCTGTATGGGCCAGGCTCAAAGCTTTCAAGGCCTCAAGTCTGAGCACTGAGAGCAGTTCTGAAGAACATGTCCACAGCACAGCTCCACGAGGCTCTGCCAACGCAACGCAAACCTCTCTGTAAATGAGGCCAGGTCCAAAAGGTGTGGTGGCAGCCTCTGGTACTTCTGTCTCGGCCTGGAGAACTTTCCGTACAGCACTTTCGAGCTCCATGTGCCAAGGAAATCGACCTGTGTTGTCAATCCATAAACCTAAAGTGAACACTGATCAAACATATGTGTATACTGCAAACAACTGTAGGTGTATGTACACATATTATATATATACACACACATGTGCGTGTAAAGCAAATCTTACCATCCATCAAGCACAAAGAAGTTCCGGCTTGGGCAAGTCTGCAAGAATGGTGCTCTCAGCCGACGTTTTTCTTCCACTAAACAATGCAAACAGCATGGGCAAAGCCAAGAGAATGATGGGCTTGAAGCCACACAACCGTGCAACCATGAAAACACAGCAAAAATTGTAGCTGGAGAATGAACGTGATCAAGAATGATCAAACAGTTTCTTGAAATCTTCCTTGGCGTTCAAAGCTTCGTCAGTTCAGCGAGGGAGGTCGACAAGGAACTTTGCCCTTCAACCCAGCGCCGAAGAGCGCTCACCCGAAAAGGCCAACAGTGCCCAACTCCGAACACGGCGAACGTCGGAGAGCGTCATTGTCAAATAAGGATCTGCAGGGTTACTGTGCACTGGTGTTCCCTTTACTTGCTTGTACTTGCTGAAAAGTTAAAGTAAAAAAACTAGGAACCGCAACCCTTTTTCAAACCCTGGCCTGAGTGCAGAACTGAAACGTCCCACCACACTTCCTTGTACCCAAAAGCTTTGAGTCGCTCCCGGATCCAAGCACCATGGTTTGGCAAAGACAAGTTCAACAAAAGCACAAAACGTGGAGCACAGGCACGTTCTATGGAAAGCCACTCAATGAGCCAACCATCTGCTGCAGAACCGTCAGAGTCAAAAAAGACTAGATCGACACCCTGTAAACCCTCACATGCCGCCTCTATGGCACCATATTGGTATGTACACATCTCCGGGCACTCAACTGTCCATGATAAAGCACATTGCTGACAGCCAGTTGAGTTGGGTCGCAATCCTCCAGAAAGAAGCCAGACTGAGCTTTTCGTTTCTTGACGAATCCGGAATGCAACAACTTGTAGATCTAGGTTGTTTGCAGCTTTCAGGCGTCGGGGTCGCCAAGTGCTCAGCACCCTGCGAGCTGCCCGAGCGCGAGGCGCCTCCGTGTCTTCAAAGCCAACCAATACTGAGGGCAAAGATGGGGGTACTCCGGCGTCCTCTTCATTCAAGGCCATTGCTGCAAGGGCTGTGGCCGCACTGCATCCAGAACCAAGAAACACATCCAATACACGCCTGACTTTGCCTGCCCGAACTACACACCAAAGAAGGCGTCCAATGGGGGCATCAGCAGTGTATGCAGACTTTCTGCAAGAATCCACTTCTCCTCCTAATGGGTCTTTCATGCCTTTTGTCGAGCTTTTCGTCATCCCTTTTGTGCAGGCCTCAATGTCCTGTTTGACCTCTTCAACATCAACTGGCACAGCCGCACGTGGATGCAGCCATCGCGTGCAGCAAATATCAAAGGTTCGACCATGACCATGGCTTGTTCCATCTGGCTCCCAACAACTTGGGTCACCCCAAGGAGGCTTTATGCAGCAACGCTCTGGGGATGCAGATCCGTCTCCCCAACAAAAGTGATCTCCAGATGCTCCAGATGCATCAGAAATTCCTGAGAGTCCAAAGACGAAGCTTCAAGCCCAATGTCAACAACAAGCTTGGCTCTAACACTGTGTTTTCCACTGTATCCATTCAAAACACAAAGGGGTCCTCCAAAGACTAGAACTCCTTCAAAGAGAAGGAGCAGCTGTTGGTAGAAAGGAGGTATGCATGTCATCGGCAAAGCAGTCAAGAAAATCCATTGTCGGCACGTCCGGGCACAGTCGCATGGTTGCTTGACACAAGTCTCTAGAAACCTACAGATTCACCTCCACACGTTCTTCATACCTCCCAAACAAACAATACTTGCCCGCTTCCCAAGCTCTCAGGTAGTATGTAGCTGCCATGTCAAATCATGTGATGTGTGAGAATATGCATTTGCCTGTTTCTGGCTGGGACATGAATCCTATCATCACAGGTTGACTTGGCGATGTCTTAAGAGGTTGGCTTCAAGAAGTGTCATACGAGTAGCACGCACCCAACCTCCAATTGGACAGAAATTACTAAACGCCGAAAGAGGTAGGACGCACCATCAAAACCCCTTTTCAGCCTGCCGGTTGGGCAGCTCGTCACTGAAGTCGCTGTCCAGATCGTAGGTGTAGCCATCGTAGCAGGTTTCTCGTACCTAACAACACACCGGGACCGAAATGAAAGGAAACACAAACTCAGCGATCGCAACGTCTCCACAACAGTGGGGCTGCCACCTTCGCATCATAGAGCGAATGCTTTCGTAGCCGAGGAACTACACAACCTCTGTCTTTGCCAATATATAAATGTGCGATCACTATGGACTTGTTGGCTGAAGTCGCAACACTGGTTGCAACTATTGCAACGCCTGTATTTGTAAAATGGGGCCCCGGCGCATTCGATGTCTAGGAAAAAGGTCCTGTTTACAGGAGAAATATATATATATATACATCAAACTTATGGATTTTCGGGCAAAGAGTCAGCATGCAAGTGTGTTTTTCTTGTGAACGTTGCGGTGGCCGTGCAAACGGTGGAGGTGAGTCGGGCCATAAGGGCCGTAGTTATTGACCTTCTTGCAGCACATTGCAAAAGGGTATGCATTGTTGATAACCATGTGCCCAATCTGAGGATTTGTCATTGCCTTTTTACCTTTCCAGCCTTGCATGCGTCACTTCGGATCGACGTCTTATGTTCCTGTATCTTCGCTAACTGACAGCACAGAAGATTTGGAAAAGCATTGCACTCAAAATGTGGCAGCGTCTTTTCCTAATGCACGAGGCGGCGGCAGCTGCAGGAAACACACTTCACCCAAGCGACAAACGACAGTGCAAGATCACGTATGATCATGCTCCTTTCGACACATACCCGCCTTGGAACCTTGCTTACACTGTCGCTTTCGAAGGGCGGCCTTGCGGCGCAAAGTCTCTGCTTCTGGGGTGTCGCATAGCGACCAATGGCCTTCGGCCATGAGCCTTTCCAGAGCGCTATTGCCATGCCATTTTGTCAATCCATCCGATGGGATTTCTTTTCCTGGAACCCACCGGGTGAAACCTGCTCCAGGTTCTTCTAAAGGCTGGCGGAGCACAGCGATGTCAACGATCAGTTTTCGATCGGTTGGACTATTGTCGCTCTGAATGGCATCGTATGCCACTTTGGCATCCAAAACAAGAACATGCTTCCATCGACTGGCCCAAAATTTCCAGGCCTCACGTCAAAAGATGGATGCATCACTTCAGCAAACACCGCTCTCAGATAATCACCATGTTCGTGGCAGTTGCTGCCTCCGACAACTCAGCAGACATACTGCATCTCACCACACGCTGCAGCCTGGCGCTACAGGCTTCCATGATGCACAGAGGTGCATCTCCCTGGAGAATTCCAGGGTGAGCCATGGCCACCAAAAGACCTCCTTGGCTTCTTGCACCTGGCTGAGCTGCATAGGCTGCGTCACTGATGGACAAAATGACCACCTCATCTAAGGCGCAGCCCAAATTCTTCACCTTCACATTCATTGGTTGGAAGCGCCATAGCTTAGGTCGAATCTGCGCTGTCTTGCAGCCCAATTCACTTGGCCAATCACACAGCTGATCCATTTCTTCTCTTGATCGGTCAGCTCCCTCTCCACATCGTCGGCTGCTCTCTCCTTGACCAATGGGATGGCCTTGCAATACTCTCATTCACGGGCACCCTTTCGAAAGCGCGCGCAGCCAGCTCATTCTTATCTGCAGCAAGAACCCCATAGCTATCCCTATTTGGGGAATAACAACGTATGATTGCGCATATAAGCTTATGCGCACAAAAGTATGCGCGCAAACAGCAAAGCCCGTAAGTGTCATTGGCCCAAGGCCAAGCAGTATCCAGCGCCACTATTGACCTTGTAGCGTGCTTGAAGCAACGACCTGCAGAACGATAAGGCCGCATGATCTTGCGCGTATAAGTTTACGCGCACAAAAGTATGCGCACAAACGGCAAAGCCCGTAGGCTTCACTCGCCCAAGGCCAAGCAGTATCCACAACTATTGTGTGTGTAGCATGCTGGAACACGCTAACACAATGGTCGGTTGAGAGCCTGATGTTGCGCGTAGAACATTATACGTACAAAAGCATGCGCGCAAACAGTACAGCCCTTGACACAGCTGTCGGCCAAAACAAAGCCTGAAGAGTGTAAATACCCCACAGCGCTAATAGACAAAGAACGCTCAAGCGACGACACCGTATGATGTTGCGTGCATAAGTTCATGCGGCCCCTGAATGCTGGCACTTCATTGTCAGAAGCGGCGCTTGGTCGCCCTTCACTGCTGCAAGCGGCAGTTTGTTACCCTTCACTGTTGGAAGCATCACTTCACTGTCAGAAGCGGGCACCAGCACCAAGCACCGGCAGCACCAGCGCCCAGCCCAGCACCAGCACCCAGCACCAGCACCCAGCACCCGGCACCCTGTCCCCACGCGCACAGCAGTCTTCACCACGCACACTGCCAGCTCACACCACCGGCACCAGCACCCGCAGTCTCCACCAAGCACACTGCCAACACCCAGCACCGGCACCATGTCTCCACCACGCGCACAGCCAGCTCACAGCACCCAGCACCAGCACCACAGCAAGCACCAGCACCCGGCACCGGCCCTGTCTCGAAAGCGCGCACAGCCAGCTCATTGTCGATTGACATAACAAGAACCCCATAGCTGTCACTATCTGGCGAACAAAATCCTCAGGCACACAGCCAGCACCCAGCACCGGCACCGGCACCGGTAATTAGCACCCAGCACCAGCACCGGCGCCAGCAACCTGTCTCCACCACGTGCACAGCTGCAGATCACAGCACCAGCAGGCACCCAGCACCGGCACCCTGTCTCCACCAGCTCACAGCAGCACCAGCACCCTCTCCACCACGTGCACAGCCAGCACCCGGCACAGCTCACAGCACCAGCACCGGCAACCTGTCTCGAAAGCGAGAGGCAGCGCTCATTGCTATGTGAAGTAAGAACCCCATAGCTTCGCTATCTGGGAAAAAGATCCGAAAATAGACCCCCTCATATACGCAAGCTACACCACCAGCACCAGCACCGGCACCCGGCGCCAGCACCAGCACCAGCAACCTGTCTCCACCACGTGCGCAGCCAGTTCACAGCACCAGCACCAGAACCGGCACCCGGCACCCGGCAGGCACCCGGCAAGCACCAGCAACCTGTCTCCACCACGTGCACAGCCAGCCCACAACACCAGCACCAGCACCGGCGCCCGGCACTCAGCACCAGCACCGGCGCCAGCAATTTGCCCCCACCACGCACAGCCAGCTCACAGTACCAGCACCCAGCACCGGTACCGGGCACCAAGCACCAGCAATTTGTCTCCACCACGTGCACAGCCAGCTCACAGCACCAGCACCGGCGCCCAGCACCCAGCACCCAGCGCCAGCACCGACCAGCAACCTGTCTCCACCGCGTGCGCAGCCAGCTCACAGCACCAGCACCAACGCCGGCGCCCAGCACCAGCAACCTGTCTCGAAAGCACGCACGGGCAACTCATTGTTATTTGAATTACACCAGCATAGACCCAGATAGCTAGGCAGAATCCCACGACCTGTTGACACGCGACTGGCTGGCCTGCACAGCCAGCTTACGGCGCCTCCGGCGCGCACAACCAGCTGACACCAGCACCGGTGCGCTTTGCCAGCTGACAACACCGGCAGCGGCACCAGCACCCGACCAGCGCCGCCGCCCGTCTTAAACGCGCGCTCAGCCAGCCAGGACCACAACACCAGCACCAGCGCCGACACCCTTTCGAAAGCGCGCGCGGCTCATTCTTATTTGCAGTAAGAACCCCATAGCTATCCCTATTTGGGGAATAACAACGTATGATCTTGCGCGCGTAAGTTTATGCGCACAAAAAGTATGCACGCAAACAGGCCCAAGGCCAAGCAGTATCCAGCGCCACTATATTGACTTTGTAGCATTCCTGAAGCAACGGTCTGAAGAACGATAAGGCCGTATGATCTTGCGCGTATAAGTCTATGCCAAGGCCAAGGCCAAGCAGTACCCAGCACGACTATTGTGTGTGTAGCATGCTGAAGCACGCTGAAACAATGGTCGGTTGAGAGCCTGACGTTGCGCATAGAACATTATACGTACAAAAGTACGCGCGCAAACAGTACAGCGGTTGACACAGCTGTCGGCCAAAACAATACCTGAAGAGTGTAAATACCCCACAGCGCTAATATATGAAGACCCTCAAGCGACACACCGTGTGATGTTGCGTGCATAAGTTCATGCGGCCCATGACTGCTGGCACTTCGGCTGTTGGTCGCCCTTCACTGCTACAAGCGGCAGGTTGCCACCCTTCACTGTCAAGAAGCGGCGGTTGTTTTCACTTCACTGTCAGAAGCGGGCACCAGTACCGAGCACCGGCACGCCAGCTCACGGCGCCCAGCACCAGCACCCAGCACCGGTACCCAGCACGTGCACAGCCAGCTCACAGCACCAGCACCAGCACCAGCACCGGCACCCGGCACCCGCAACCTGTCCCCACCATGTGCACAGCTCACGGTACCAGCACCAGAACCGGCACCCAGCACCAGCACCAGCAACCTGTCTCCACCACGTGCACAGCCAGCTCACAGCACCAGCACCGGCACCCAGCACCAGCACCAGCAACCTGTCTCCACCACGTGCACAGCCAGCTCACAGCACCAGCACCGGCACCCAGCACCAGCACCAGCAACCTGTCTCGAAAGCGCGCACGGGCAACTCATTGTTATTTGAAGTAAGAACCCCATAGCTTCGCTATCTGGGGAATGAAGTAAGAACCCCATAGCTTCGCTATCTGGGGAATAATCAGATCCTTTTCCCTCAGGCTCCCTCAGGGACTTTCACCCAATACATAGGGATATGAGCTCACTTAGCAATCACTGTTGCTATAATGTCAATACAGGATCAAATAACCCTCGCTATTCGTTTGGTCCGGCTTCCTCGCAATACTGTCCGCCTTTCCAAAAAGCCTTCTAGCCGGCTGTTTGATTGTGGTTTGGTCCATCTGTGTCCTGATGTTTTTCTTTTCTTCCCACTTCTCCCCCCTTTAATTTCACCGATCCCTCATCCTGTGGTCCTGTTGTCATCTCACCAGTCCCTGCTTTCTCATGAAGAGGTTACTCTTGATGATCCCTCCTTATGAAGATATCAGTCTTGGCGACAACATTCCCAAATTCCCACATCCCACGTTAACTGAGGACCCACATCATGTGGGTGATAGACCTCCTAGACCTTCTGTGGGATGTTACTCCGAAGTCATAGTTATTGTATCTCAGTCTCAAAGAATGTATATAAGTGTAAATGCTTTGCTGGCTTTGCGATCAAGCACAATTCTTAAACTGTCTGTCACTTCACGGCAAAACATGCAAAATTGTGCTCCTCCTCCTGGCACTCTCTGCGTGGAACCCAGAGTGAGTAATTCACCTCCTGAGAAGTGAATCTTGCACCAGCTGTTTCTTTGAAGGAAAAAACTAGTTGGTGAATGAAACCTGCTATAATGTGCATTGATGTGCAATCAATTTTGGTGTTGAGGAAGGGTCAGTGTAGTTGGTCTCGTTGCTAATGTTGACCTCCATCGTCCAGTTTTCACGAACCTCATCAGCAAATGCTGCACTAAATGTAGGTGTTTCTCTGCTGTTCCAGCTGCTTTAGCTCTGTTCTAGCCTCTTTCCCGTTCTTTTGCAGTTACAGTCCTATCCTGCCTCTACATCCCAGCCAGTAAAGTAGCAATCCTGGTGAGCAAGTTCAACACTCGACATTCACACGGTGCTTGATTCCAAACTGGTTAGGAGCGCATGAGGAGCACCAGCGTCAAACTCCAGCAAGAAAGTGTAGGCCTGTTAGGACATTGATCAAGAATTTGTTTAAAGGAGCTCGACCACCTTCTGTCCTTGTCGACACCAAGGAACTTCAACAAACTTCACTTGCCCTTGGCTCTTAATGGTCCATTGTTCCCTTCAAGAATCTACTGTAAATACTTGAAGTTCATAATAAAAAAGATCCAAGACATCTCCTGATATACGGCTTTGCCCGGTCTTCACCGTCGTCTCACAATCAAGGAATTGCCCAGCGCGCACCGTCTCATTGCTCACGGTGAGGTTGGCCGGTGCTTCTGCTCGCTCAATGGCAATGACCGTTGTAACCTGTCAGGTTCAACGTTTGTGTCGAAAAATGGAAAACCAAGCAACAACACCAAAGCCCAATTGTGAGGAAAATTGAATAGCAGTGAAAAGGCTGAGGGTGCGACGTTTACATCGAGTATTGTGAAGTCACTATCAGCATTTGGATCAACGCAGGTTTCCTAACAAGGCAAGCTATGCAGCACCACAAATTGCAGGAAGGGACTGCGTGCAGACCTTGATTCGCACTGAGTATGTGGAGTTTTGCTTTAACCTCAGCCGCGTGGGACCAAAGCCCACTGCGGGATGATATTGCTTAGAAATATTTCTATATAGGGAAACCTGGGCCACAAACGACCTCGGCAAATCACCAGGGCGGCAGAGTGGACTTTCTCTTCCAGCTGTGCATTTGTGCCGCACCTTGTTGAAGGACATCGAGTTCTAGTCAATGTCAGTCTGCAACATGTTTGAGAAAACATCCTTTGTGCTAGCGCTTTTCGTGGAAGCCAATATCTGCTGCTAGGGTGCCCATGTGTGAGGTTCATCCAACAGGTGCACCAGCGGAGGAAGTGCCCAGTCACCAGGGTCAGGAGAGATCTGGAAAACCTCCATGACCTTGATACACATTGCACACAAAAGCCTGCTTCAAAGGCAGAACGGGGATAACAAAAGCTGGTCAAGGAAAGCTACTGTAAAAATATTGAAACACAAAACATGTCAAAAGGGAAGAAATTATCAGGCATTATGAAGCTAGTGCAGAGCCTTTGGAGTGCCCAGAGAATGTCTATCTGTGTTTGCTGAAGTGGATTCTGTGGGAGTGTGGCATCGAAGAAGGCCCAGGTGCCCAGGCCCACTCCTTGAAGACACATTGTCCAGCAGGTCCAGCCTAAGGACTGCATGACTGACTACAGCAATGGCCTCCAACCTCATGGCAATGACCTCCCCCTACCTCCAACCTACTTGCAATGGCCTCCAACCTAAGCGGCTTTCAAGTGTCTTTGTTAACAGTTCCAATTGGGGTCATTTTTCAAAAGGCTAAAGGTACTGTTCAGACTCTTGGTTGCCTTGAAGCAACTTAATTACACCACCGTAGACCCCAAACAGTTTGCGCTTTTCAAATCGAAACTAGAGCTTGCGACGCCCAGAGCTGGGAGACAAAGGATTGCGTACAGAGCGGGCGGACACATCTTAAGAAAGAATTGACAAGCCCCAACAGCAAACCTTTTGGGGAATTATTCTTCAAGTGCGAACATGATGCTGGTCATGCTGCTCAATCAGCGGGGAGCTGACCACGTGAGGACAAGAAATAAAAGCATGAGGAGCGAAGGACGTGACATGAAACTGGTTTTTGGTGCCTGACGTATGCCCTCCGTCCCAACTGAACGCCGAAATCCAATCCGGTCATTCATCCAACGCTTGCCCGAAAAGGAAAACAAAGCTGAGAGAGTTACACAGTGTGGCAGGAATGCAATCCCGGAGACAATCACGCACCCCTTTCAAAGGAGCAAGAACCTTTCACAGGTCAACCTGTTCCAGCGGACAGGGCAGAAAACACCAGCGCAGCAAAAAGAAAGAAATCACATGGGAGACAAATGAATAGAAATGCTACATGGCCAGCGGAAAAGGGCGGCAGCACCAGTCACAGACACGGGAAACAAATGAATAGAAATGCTGCATGGCCAGCGGAAAAGGGCGGACACCAGCAGTGACAGACCTGGAACACACATGAATAGAACTGTTGCATCGCCAGCGGAAAAGGGCTGACACCAGCAGTGACAGACCTGGGAGACAAATGAATAGAAATGCTACATGGCCAACGGAAAAGGGCGGACACCAGCAGTAACGGACCTGGGAGGCAAATGAATAGAAATGCTACATGGCCAATAGACAAACACACACCAGCGGACGCACGAATAGAAATGCCAGCGGAAAAAGGCGGACACCACCAGTGACAGGCCTGGGAGACACATGAATAGAAATGCTGCATGGCCAACGGACAAGGACGGACACCAGCAGTGACAGACTTGGGAGATGAATAGACATGCTGCATGGCCAGCGGAAAAGGGCGGACACCACCAGTCAGACCTGGGAGACAAACGAATAGAAATGTCGCATCGCCAGCGGAAAAGGGCGGACACCAGCAGTGACAGACCTGGGAGACAAATGAATAGAAATGCTACATGGCCAGCGGAAAAGGGCGGACACCAGCAGTGACAGATGTGGCAGACAAATGAATAGAAATGCTACATGGCCAGCAGAAAAGCCAGCGGAAAAGGGCGGACACCAGCAGTGACCAACCTTGGAAACAAATGAATAGAAATGTTGCATCGCCAGCGGAAAAGGGCGGACACCGCAAGTGACAGACCTGGGAGACAAATGATGAATAGAACCAGCGTCCAAGGGCGGGCCGGCAGTGACAGACCTGGGAGACAAATGAAGAGAAATGTTGCGTGGCCAACGGAAAAGGGCGGACACCACCAATGACAGACCTGGGAGACAAATGACTTAAGGCCAGGGGAGGAGGTCGAAAGCTAGCCGAATTGCACCGGATGTATTAGTTACATAGTCGGCAAAGCATGTAGTGATTACATGTTTTGGGAGAAAGGTTGCTACGTACACACTTTGCGCTGAAGAATGTAAATGTGACATCGCCGACTGGGAAGGGTACATTGGAACAACACGGGCGCACTCGTTGGCAGGCACGAGGGGGGGTAAATTTACCCCCCGCTTTTGTATGCCTTGAGTCGAAAAGAGGGGTAAGCATTTCTGACATCACACGGACTGTACATACACTGGGCGTCCGTAGTGTAGGAGAAGCACGGGTAAAGGGTATATGGAATATAGAGTGTCTTGAGGAAATAGCCGGCTTATGGTTATTGCAATTCTGGTGGTTAATTTTTTAAAATTTACCCACCGCTTATGTATGCCTTGTGCCGGAAAGAGGGGTAAGCATTTCTGGATATTTCTGGCATCACAAGGACTGTGCATACACTAGGGCGTCCGCAGTGTAGGATAAGCACTGGTAAAAGGTATAAGGAGTAGAGTGTGTTGAGGAAATAGCCGGCTTATGGTTATGGCAACTCTGGGGGGTAAATTTACCCCCCGCTTATGCATGCATTAGGTTAGAAATAGGGGTAAAGAACTTGTAACAGTGAAGTACAAGTCCGGAGACAAGCCAGCCGGGAACCCGACCACAAGCACCCAGGGAGACAA